TCACATATTCATACTACACACAGCAATAGTGTGCCAACAGCTTCCCTCCCCCCCCAAAGTATGCAATGCTTTTTATGTACACAGTCTTAATAATACTGAATACAGCAATACCTTGGAAGATAGGCCAGAATATCCAAAAACCAGAAAGAGGCTGTTTCTGATTGATACCGGTTTGTCTAAAGTCAAGTAATGTAGTAGTGGACCTTGGAGTCTCTCATTTCAGCAGCACCCTGTACCACTCCAGAATTCAGCACCCCTGCCTTCCATTCTATATAATAGTTGCAGCACCCTGAGTCTTTGTGCTCCCCTAATCCATCTCTGGTCCCGGCTCAAAACACACAGACAAAGGCTTCAACTTGTAAATAGGAAAGATATCCTTATTCAGGCAAGTAACTGTACAGGCTTGGCAGCAGACATCGTGCTCAGAAGTCATGATTCAGGCGTTCAGGAGCATAGAAAGTAGAGAAGAAAGTATCCCAACAAGTTTCCCTGCCCTCACCTCCCAAGCTTTTAAAGATAAGGTATGCTTGAGTTTAGTCACAAGAGTCACTCATCTTGTGGGAATGCTGAGATTACAAACGCATGCTGTCAGGGCAGATGGGTCAATTTTTGTCAGTGAAGGCAGCACCTGATTCTAGGTCACAAGACAACACCATTATGTTTATGCTTCTGTTCAGTTGCTGCTGCCTCCTTTTCAGCCTTAGAATAATAGAATCAGACAGTGTTCGAAATTATCCATGCACCAGGTTCATTTTGCACCTGGCTTTCAACCACTTGCAACCAAGAGAAGATGCTTAGGAACCAGGATGGCCCCTGGCACCTCCATCATTTGGAGGTGCATGCCTGGGGATCATTGGATCTGGACTGTTTTCACACACCAATACCCCATCCTTTAGAATTCCATCAGCTATATTTTATCTGTACTATCAGAATGAATTTCTGGAACCAAAATGTGTTGGGTTTTTTTTGCAGCCTAAGCAGGAGCAGTCACTGCTAACAGAAAGAGGTAGGAATAGGCCAAGAGATCTGTGAACTGCCCCTGGATTGAGTGACTTTTCTTCTTTAAGTTCTAAAAGTACTTAATCTAGCTCAAGTTTGTCATCTGAACTAGCCAGATGTTTAACTGAGAATCAATCACAGTCAGTCCATAATTTGAAAAATAAGACTTTAGAGCAGTTTTACCCCAAAATGGCAACTAGACATCCCATTTTGGCAACTGTAGCCTTGGTTTAAGGAGGCATTTGGTGCTTATCTTATATATCTGAGTTTCTAACACTGGAATCAGAGTTGGAAGGAACCACAAGGGTCATCTAGTCCAACCCCTTCCAATGCAGCAATATTTTCCCAATGTGGAGCTCAAACTCACAACCCTGATACGGTGGTACCTCGAGTTACAGAAGCTTCAGGTTACAGACTCCGCTAACTCAGAAATAGTACCTGGGGTTAAGAACTTTGCTTCAGGATGAGAACAGAAATCGCATGGCGGCAGCAGTGGGAGACCCCATTAGCTAAAGTGGTACCTCAGGTTAAGAACGGACCTCCAGAATGAATTAAGTTCTTAACCCGAGGTACCACTGTATTAAGAGTCTCATACTCTACCAACTGAGCCATCTCAGCCTCCTCCCTCCTGGCTGATCAAACCCCTCCGACTTACAGTAAGGTCGGAGGGGACAGCCGGCATCCCAGCTTCCTTTTGCATAATGGTTAAAGACAGCGTGGAAAGGGGAGGTCTCTTTCTTACAACTAAGGCTTCCCAAATTCAAGGCCCCCCCCCCCCATTTCTTCTTCTTCTTCCTGTGAATCCAATCCCAAGGCCTATGGTCTCACAACACCTAATAAACTTTACCTAAGGTTGAATCTAGGACTTCTTCATTCATCACTTATGATCAAAGCTACACCATTTGTCATTATTTATTAAGTTACACCTACCCACCCCAATCTGCCTTTTGAGCCAAGCCTTCAGAAAATGGTTTAGAAACGAGGACATTAAAATAAAAACCCATAAAACAGCACCTAATTAGAACAAAGAGAACCAGCATTAAAAACCAAGAAGAGGTTTGGTAGAGTAAAAAGAGGGTTAAGAAATATTTAAAACCTAACAGAGGGCCAAATTAAGTTATCATACCAGTAAGTTCAAAAAGTGTGAGACCACAACTGAAAAAGCCCTTTCTGAACACTAACACCTTCTGATATTTATCAGTGGCAGGACAGGGAGCAGGACCTCAGAGGTCAGTCTTAGTGTCACCTAGAGGGAATTTTGCATTTCCTCAAGTACAAAATAGTGTTAATTGACTGCAACTTCCCAATGAAGGAGGAGAACCTTTTAGAAATACATGAGTGGTAGCACATTTATTGCAAAAGCAACAAAACAAAGCCCTGTCACATGGTATACTGGAGCAGCAAAGTAAAATAAATGAATGAATGAATCTGAGAACTATGGAGCAAACATGAATTTATAACTGATGCTTTTAGGGTTCTAACCAAATTATCTCTCAAAAACTGGTATTCCCATAGACAAATTAATAATTAAGAGTTGGGAGACACTTGTGACACACACAATTCAATAAAGTATTTGGCAAAAGGTGTTACAGGACCAAATGTCCTCAAATATTTTGAGCAAGCAGACACAAATTTTAGCTTCATAAAAGAAAACTGAGGGAAACATGACAAAATGAATGCTAAAAATATTATTTCTGCATTGTCTTACAGTAGACAACTATCTGACAACTATTATAGCAAAATTAGAATGAAAGAAAACAGTGCAATCCTATACTCAGAAGCATACCTTACTCCCAGGTAAATCATTTCCAAAGGCGTTTTCCTCACCATGTAGTTATCCTTTCAAAATCTGTAATAGGAAAGCCACCTAAGTGCTAAAGCATCTTCAGTTAACTCCAATATGCAAAGTTACCTGTTCTTTCAAAATGGTGCATCTTATTCTACTTTTGTTTTATCACCAAGAACTATAAAAATAAGTAGAAAGCTCACAAAAAACACAGTATCACTACTAACCTAAAACTATGAAGAAAAATAAAGTGTGGTTTTGTTTCCTTTTAGTATCATAATTAATTTTATTTTCCACTAGCACAGAATTGCACAAGTTACAAACTAAGAAGACTTGAGCTGCCATTTTCAAACAACCTACCAAACTGGAGTGCCAAAACAGACAGGCAGTGGCAGTTTAGCAACTGCTGCAACTTCAGTTTTATGCAAGCTCTTGAACATCGATTTAAAAGCAGTTGCATAAGCCCCAGAAAGGCAAAAATCTCCTTCTGCACTCTTCATCATTATTATTCCAAGTGGGTGGGGGTGAGGGAGAGAAATATTTACAGAGAAACTGAGCATTACCTGAGTGTCACTTACATCGTCGCTAACGAGCTGGGCTATTATGCAGCAGAGCCCAGGAAGGCACCTGGCGTGCAAATATACCAGGCACACCACACAAGAGCAGAAAGATGTGGAGGGAAAACATCCCCCGCCTCATCCCTTCCTTGCCTACCTTCCTGGTCACATAGACCTCGGCCAACACCGGGGCAAGCAGAAAACCAGGTTAGCTGCAGGAGCAAACAGCCGGTTTAATCTGAGTGCCCGAAGGTGGCGAGGAGGGGGGGAGGAGAAGAAGAAACAGCCCCCCCCCATTATCAAGTCACTTCCCCCACCGTGTGAAAGCGCGTGGGCGCCACGGCGGATTCACTTGTCATGTCACTCAGCCCCAACGCCATGGAGCCGGTCCCTCTCTCCCCCTTGCCTGCCTCAGACAGACACGGCGGCCGCAACAGCAGCAGCAGCAGCTCAGGTGGGAACGGAGCCGAGCATCTCTCTCCCCACCACCACCTCCCGTCGGGGAGGAGGATTTGCTGCTTCGGTCACGGTCGCCTCCGTCTCTTTCTCTCGCCCTCCCTCTCATCCCCCCCCCCCGGCCATTTGCCTCTCCCGCCGCCACTTACTTGCCGATCACCTCGCAGAGCTCATACACATCCTCGAACAGCACGTCGTCGTCGGCCATGGTCCAGATGGGGGCAATTCGCCACACGGGCGGCCGAGGCGGGAAGGGGGCGCGGGCACGATCCCCTCCGCGCTCCCCGCACGACGCGCCGCCGCCACCACCGCGTTAAATCCCAGCCGCCTCACGCCGCACAGATCCAAATCCGCCCCGGAGGCTCCAACGGCCACGCCGGGAATCCCTTCAGCCGCCGCTCCTTGTTCCTTCCTCCTGTGGGCCTCAGCCTCCCCGCGTGTCTCTCTCCGTCTCTCTCGCTGCTGCCGCCGCCGCCGCCAGGTCCTCACCTTTCCCCACCCCGTCCGTCGCGACCCTTTTCCCTTTGCTCCCCCACCGCTGCGGCCCTGGAGTCTAATGCCGGCAGGCGGCGGCGGGCGGGGTGGAGCAGGGACCACGGAGGGGATGGATACGGAGATGAACCGGCGGAAGGCAGAGCCGCCTCATTCGCCTCCCCTCCCCCACTGGTGCACACTCACACGCGAAGGGGCCGGGGAGAGAGGGAGAGAGAGAGAACGCGCGCGCGCGCACACAGGGAGTGAGCGAGGGAGAGGCAGGCGCGGCTCCGACCACGCGCCAAGCAACTGCCGCGCTAAGCTGTTTAATGGAGGGCGGGCGCGCCGCCGCCGCCACCTTTCTAATCAGTCACGCAACCGCCCAGAGCCAGCGCGCGCGCTCCCTTCTTCGAAGTGCGCGCGCGCAGTCTTCTTCTTCTTCTTCTTCGCCTTCCTCCCTACCCCGCCCGGCCGTTCTCTCGTCCCCCCTCCTTCCCTCCCTCTTCCCCCATTTGACAAGTCCTTTGCCAGAACCGCGCGCAGAGCCACGCCCACAACACCCCCCACCCTCCAGGGGGCGCAAAGGGAGCGCTCTGCGCAGACGCGGGTGTGTTAACGTCATAGGGAAGGCGAAGGGGGAAATGAGGCGGGGCGCCGTATCGCTCTTCTGGGGGGCGGGCAGGCGGGCTTTCATTGTAGTGGCTTTGGAGCCTGTGCTTGGAGAGCGTAGTGAGGCTTGTAGGAGCTCGCGCGGAGGAGAGCGGCTCCCTGGCGCGGCGCGGCGCAGCAGCGTGTAGTGTTTGCGGAGAAGTAGCTGCGGTTTCTCCTCAGCGCTGTTTTCTATCCTCCGTGACTAGTTTTTACGGGAACAAGAAGTCAGTTTGGCTTGTGCAAGAAGTTAGACGGGGCTGAGGAAGGACAGGTAACGTAGCCGGGCGTGCCTCTTTGGCGCTAAGGTACCTGACCGGGGCAGCCGGACAGGTTTTCTTCGGATCCGCACAAGGAAAGCGAGGAAGCCGCCTTGGGGAGCTGATTTTGGATGTCGTTGAAAGGCAGCACATTGTTGGCTATTTAATTAATCATTTGCATTTTCCTTGTTAAGCAAGAGGGAGAAGAGCTTGCGGGATGTTTTTGTTTCTGGATGCTATTTTATTAAAATACAAGTTTGGGTTCTTTACCCCCACTCCCCCAAATGCTTGTGTTGGATGTTTGACTTAAGTAGGAATGTAGTTATTTTTAAAAGGTGGGTTTAAAGCATACTTGTTAGGCTGCAACAGGAGACAGGCGTACTTCATGACAATATTCATAACTCTGAGTTGGTAGTCACACCCCTTCTAAGACTACAGAACAAAAATGTATTTTTTACTTATGTGGACATTATGGCTTCAATACCAAACTAGCTTTTTTTGCTTACTCAAAAGTCTGCTCACTATTTTGTAATACTTTATCTTATATGGTGAATTTATCTATGAGAAAAGCTCACTTATTTATTTGGTATATAGACTGTGATAAATAATGCTGCAGTAGATATCATCCTTGCTGTGAAATAAGTGGTGGATCCCTTCCTGGCTCTGCCACTCCACTGTTGAGTGAAATGCTTTCTCTGTGACCACAAAACAAAGTTCTCCTTTTACTCTCCCACTTAAGTTTAGCATGCCTGAAGTTTAATGGAAGAGTATGTGTTTTATGTGCAGGAGTTCCTGGAATCTGCAGCTTCAGTTAAGAGCCTGTGAAAGCTGCTGCCAGTGGGAGTGGTTGGGTAATGCTTGGCTAGATGAACCAATGCAGCTTTTATGGGTGCTACTCCTGAATCTGATATCCCAAGAGCGTGAAAGCAAAATGAGAAATTGTGATATTTATATAAAACTGTTGTGAAGTGAAAGGGTACACAAAAGACATGGTTCAGATGTGCCTTTCTGCCCAGGATATGTTCAAACTGCAGTTGCATATTAATAACTTTAAGCAAATGGACACAGCAATTATATATGTAGTGCAACTGTTTCTGTGTATGACACTTTTGCTGTAAGAAAAAGAGCTTAAATGAAATGTCTTGCAGACATGCAGCCTGGTCTTCAAGCTAAGATCTCCCTTTGTTATCTTTGCATATGAGAAGGTGACTTGCAGCTACATCTACAGTCATACCTCCGGTTACAGACGCTTCAGGTTGCGTTTTTTCGGGTTACAGACACACCGAAACCCGGAAGTACCAGAATGGGTTACTTCTGGGTTTTGGCGATCACGCATGCACAGAAGCGCTAAATCGTGCTTTGCACATGTGCAGAAGCACCGAATCGCAACCCGCACATGTGCAGATGCAGCACTGCAGATTTCGAATGCTGCGGGTTGCGAACGTGCCTCCCGCACAGATCACTTTCGCAACCCAAGCGTCCACTGTACATTGTATCCTGCTGTACTGTCTTTATTGAAAATTCTATCTTGACTACTGTTTAGGCTAGTCTCTCCTACTTACAAGAGTGAGTCCCATTGAGCTTGGTGACTTCTGAGTAAACATGCAGTGGATTGTGCTGCTATGCCTGGATAAAGCAATCCAAACAGTTGCTCCTGGACCTGCTAAGGAGGAGTGCCTCTAGACACCTACCCAATAATCAGAGGGATGGAAGCCTAGGTGGCATCCCAAATTCCCAAAACAGAGCATGGTGGGGAGCTGCGCCAGCACTGCTGCCCATCATGTGACAACAACAGGCCTGATCCAGACCTTTTTGGTGTAGCAGCCTAGGAGCTAGCATAACAAAGAGGCAGTTTTCCTGTCCCCTCACTTTGTCATGTTGGCACAACCAGACGGGTTGTGGCAATGGCTGTGCCACACTCCATTAAGCCCTGTCATTGCTGGCCCCTAAATGAAGAACCTAAAAAGAATCTGCAGGATCAGGCCAGTGACCCATTTAATTCCAACAATCTCTTCTCAAAGTAGCCAACCAGATGGGAAGTACATGAGCAGAGCTCAACAGCACTCTCTCCACTTTGGACGCCCAGCAAGTGGTATTCTAGTTCTAGTGTTATGAGGGAGAAAAACATTTCTCTACCCACTTCTCCCACATCACTTTATACACTTCTGTCCTACTCTTTCTCTTATTTACTCAAAAACCTTTCCTCATAGGGGAGTTGCTTCATTTCTTTAATCATTTTGATTATAATTTTTGGATTTTTTTCTCCCCAGCTGCACAATATCATTTTTGAGATGAGGCAACCAGAATCGTACACATTATTCCAAGTGCAGGCACACAATAGATTTGCATAATGGCATTATGATATTGGCTGTTGTATTTTCAATTCCTTTCCTAATGGACCCTTGCATAGAATCTGCCTTGTTCTCTATTGCTGCACCCTTGGGTCAACATCTTCACTATGACCGCAGGGTCTTTTTCCTGGTCAGTCACCACCAGTTTAGATCCCATGAGAATATATGTGAAATTACGTGGAGTTTGTGCATAGACATCACTTTATACTCTCTTACGTTGAATTGTGTTTGCCATTCTACCAACCACTCACTCTTTTTGGAGAATAAAGGTAAAGTTTTTTTCCAATCATACTGACTCACAAGTGGAAAATTTCTTTTGCAAATCTTGGCAAAGTCTGAACCTGAAACTCTTTAAAAACAGTGTAAGTTGTTACTTGGAATTGGTTTTCAACAGTAGAAGATAGGATGGTTTAATAAAAATTGAAGTTACGCTAAGAGCCTGTTGCTGCCTCCAACCAATTCCCAAAGTGTGTAGTAAAGATCACTATAAAGTATGAAATAAGATATTTGTAGTACTGTAATCTGATTTAGAGCTAGACTAACTGATTTTGTAGTATGCAGCCTTTAGGTCAATGCTAAGAGACTGCATTTTATGTATTAACTTGGTTAGTTTAACCAGCAGTAAAGATAAGTGGGTGGGTGCATGCAGGCTAAGCTCAATTTAAGAGGTTGTAAGATCAAACCTAGGATGTTGCTTAAAAAGGACATTTTTCATTTTTCAGTAGAATGATTTGAGCCAGTGCAAGGTTGATATCTATTGGTAGTGCAGTGGATGAGGAATGCAGCAGTCATTAACAGACTTCCATCATAAATGGGAGGGATCCTGCTTTGCATGTAGACGATCCCAAGTTCAATCCCTAGCACATCCCATGAAAAGGATCAGGTAGCAGGTAATGGAATATGCAGCTGACCTGAACTCTGGAGTGCTGCTGTCAGTCAGAGTAGACTGGCTATTAAGTCAGGACCTGCTAAGGGGTTGCAGCCTGACTAAGCTGGGTGACAACAGTAGTACTGCCACAATACAAATGTATGGAAGGGGGAAGACTTGACTTCATCAGCTGCTCAGCCTCACTCCCTTGCCTTAGTGGAAACTACTACCTGGGAACAGCCATCAAAGGAAGACTTGTGTTTGGCAACAGCAGAGAAGACCAAGAAAGGCTGCCTTAATAAGCCTGGTGACATGTTATTTCTGATTATATGTGCAAATCTTTTTTGAATGTGAACCTCTTGTAAATTGTTTTGAGAGCCTCTTGGACCTATAAAAAACCAGGATGGTTGAAGACTTCTGGAGATAGACAACTAGTTTTGCCTGACAGAATGCAGCTTCCTACGTTCGTGTGATCAGTGGTGACAACAGATCATACGATAGACTCAATCAGCCAAGAATTTCAGGTTTGCTTCGTTCATATCTACATCGTATCTTGACACCCACCCATTCCCAGATAGACATTCGCACTAGTCCAGAGAACTCTGATTGCAACAGATAATTGCCATACCCAAGGAGCTCTACTCCCCAAAATGTAATTTGAAGAATTTGAGAACAGCACCAGTTATCTTAAGAGGTGTGGTAGAGAGGATGCACCTAGACCAAATCTGGGCGTCTTATTCACACATGCCCTAACAGGTGTGCACAAAATGGGTGGCTTGTGAAGTGGTGAGTGACTTTTGCTCTAGGTAGAAAGCACATGGAGTGACACAATTGTGGTTTAAATATGTCAGACCTACTGCTGTAGTGCAGTAGTGCCAAGGCAGGTACACAAAGACCTGGTCATACAGTTGCTCCTAAATCAGCTGAACTGACCTTGCCTTCCCCACCTTGCAATATTTTGGAATTATACATTTTTGCCCCCCACTCCTTCTCTCCTATCTTTCCTTGTGGAGACCATTTGTTTTATGTTTTCAATATTAAGGTTTTATAATGGAATTACTGCACTTAAGGCATTAGGCAAAAGGTAAGATATAAATCTTAAAAAGAAATGACAGCATATTGCTGTGTCTTATTGTGGCGGACCTGTGGTGATTTATTTGCACACAGTAGTATGCATAACTTTGCTGTGGAGCCCATTGATGAGTGGAGTAATTGCACATTGTTCCTCATTTCAATTAAAATGGACAGTGCTGGGCTCCAAGCTATATGGTAGACCTGTGATCCGACCTTCCACTATTTAAAAAAATAATAATTAAAAGCATCTCTGGTGGACTCCAGCCTAAACCAGAGACAGTCCCCAATGCATGATTGATCCTCTGCCCTGTGCTGTTTTCCCAATCTAATTTGCACCCAAAGCTGCTGTTAGCTATACTGGGGGTGGGGAGACAATCAAAATTTTAGTAGAAATTGTGATTCTAAAGGCAGGCCTTGTTAGAGAACTTTATAAACTTCATAAAATGTGTCATTCTTAAAGGATCCACCTTAATGCTGTCATAAAACAGGAAATATCCTCTTGGACAGAGGACATATTGTGGTCACATGGGGAGAAATAATGTTCTAGGTAGCAATTACCACTCCCCAAATCTGGGCAACTTGACATGAATTATCTAAATCTTTTTCCTGTTATGAAATACTTAGCTTGTTTTGTTTTTTTGCCTGTTAGAGTATGTTGCAAAAAGTCCCACAAAACTAAAAGTGTTGATATACTTTCAAGTTTTTACTCATATGCATTCCTTGAGTGTATTTGAATAATTGGGGGGGGGGGGACGGACCATGATCTAGTTTTAATTGGATTATATCAGATCATGATGCAGGGGACAAAACAGCACATTTGAATGCACCACTCAAAGTCTCTATGCATGTAAAGCTAGTATCCCTGGGAGAAATACTTACAAAATGGATCAATAAAACAACACCCCCCTTCAAACTATCAACAACAAATAGCAACATCCCCAGCCAATGAGAGCAAGTTCAAATTAAAAGTCTTAGCTCTGAAACACAGTAAGATTTGGGCACAGGCAGGATTGTAAGGGAAAGGGTTCCATAACTGCTGGCTCCGGAGGAGAGAGAGAGAAGGGAAGCTTACTATCAGCATTGATATGAAGGTAGCTTCATCAGGCTCCTCCCCCTATTAACTCACCAGGCAGCAGTCATTCCATCAACATCTAATAGAGAGAAGGGAAGCAGGGCTCTCTCTTAGGTGACTAGCAACTTTGCACCTTGAACTTTTTTCATTCCAGCTGATGGTTATAAGAACCAGTGCCTGAGTTTGCTTTTCCCTCATCCCTCCCTGTTGCTTTTTCTTTTGTGTCATGTCTTAGATTCTAAGCCTAAGGGCAGCTCTTCATAACCCAGCCCAGGAGCCTTATTTGGCTAAAGCGCAAAGTGTTTCAAATAACAATAACCTTGGCGCTATAATTGAGAACAAACATTTCCTTCTGTCCCTTTAAGACACACAGGATGTTCCAGAGCAGGTTTCCTATAGTTCTCCAAATCCATAGCAGACAAAGCTGTCTTTTAGCTTTTAGGGACTATGCCAACTGGTACTTTCTTGATTTATGCCTGAAAGCATGCCAGTAGCCACTTCAGAGTAGGACTGAGATGAGAACAATTCCCAACTGTGCCACTCTGTTTGCAGGCTACAATTAAATATTCCTCCGTGTGAGTGGAAGGACTGTGAACAGGGACAATTTTTTACCTTGCTTCCCAGCAACAGCAGCATCCTGTGCCTGACTGACATCTTACCCTTTTTATACACCAGAGAGTGATCCAGAAGCGTTGGCTTCTGTCTGATTTGGCATCATGATGATGTCACATATCCAATGAAGTCTGACATCTGCAGCCAAATTAGAATGAGCTTGTTGCAGAGCCTGCAAAATCTAGAGACAGTCTCAGTGAAGTAGCCATGGGGCAAATGTTGATGTCACCCCAGACTCAATGGCGGCCCTACTCCAAAGTTAGCTTAGTGCTGCACGAAGTATTCTGATGGTATAGGGTAAGGATTGGCCATCTCTGATTAATGTACATGATCTTGGCAGCCTCATTTAAGGCTGAGTTCCAGATACAAGATTTACTACCAACCTCACTTTAAGTGATAGACTCAATATGAGATTTCTATTTCAAGACTTTCACAAGATCAAAGTCAATTTCCCTTCTCACAGCCAGGAATGTCATCCACAGCCACTCATATAAAGACAAGTCTGGAATGTGCCTCACTCCCCAGAAGTTTCCTTTCCAGCAATACTTCCCAAGATCATTATGTCCTCTCATAGGTTTGTATGCATACATATATTTACACACCCTAAAATTAATTTATTTATTTTTTGTTTTGAAACAGGTTTGCAAGAGATTTAAAAAAGCAAGATAATTGTCAACAGTCTCCCTCTCCCTCTATTCTCCCTCCTGCACCTCACACACATGGTGGCAGCAAAATAATTTCAGTGGACTGCCACTTGAATATTGTACTGTACTACACTATGAACCTGAGCTACACCTATCCCAGGAAAAAACCCTGGTAGTCAAGGCCTCTGATACTTGGCATCTTTTCACAACTCTCATTTCTTTCAACGTAAGGAACATTCCCTAAGATACAGCCACACTACTTTGAAAAAAGACACTTATTTCTGGCAAGTTAAGGTACTGTGTCATGTGGACTTCATAACATTCACCAATGCCCTAGATAAATTTTATCTATATGATCTGTAGATGGAATAATATTGCCAGTCATTAATAATTATTACAGTCTTATCTGGCCAGCTACTAATGGAAACAGAATATTAAACTAGATGGCTTGACTCTTGGCCTGTTCTACATATTATTTCTTCCATATTACTTCCATCTGAAAGAAACTATAGGTATAGTTAATAAATAGCTGTTCAAATTAGAGACAAATTAGGACTGTCCATTCCTTTATTGCCTGGAATCATGGATATAACATATCCAGTGTTTTTTCTCCAGGGTACGCAGTACCGGCATCTCTTTTTGTTGCTGTTAAAAAGTGTGGCACTTACTGTCACAACTTAATGGTGAGTAAAAGGTAAAGGTAAAGGGACCCCTGACCGTTAGGTCTAGTCGCGGACGACTCTGGGGTTGTGGTGCTCATCTGGCTTTACTGGCTGAGGGAGCTGGCGTACAGCTTTCGGGTCATGTGACCAGCATGACTAAGCCGCTTCTGGCAAACCAGAGCAGCGCACAGAAACGCCGTTTACCTTCCCGCTGGAGCGGTACCTATTTATCTACTTGCACTTTGACGTGGTTTGAACTGCTAGGGTGGCAGGAGCAGGGACTGAGCAACGGAAGCTCACCCCATCTCTGGGATTCGAACAGCCGACCTTCTGATCGGCAAGCCCTAGGCTCTGTGGTTTAACCCACAGCACCACCGAGACTTCCGGGTTGGCGCCATCGCCGAATGGCGGACTCCCTCCGAGCTCCGGAGGGAGTCTGCTCGGCAGGGGCTGGGTCCTACCGCGCCGGCGACGCGGGGACCCTTAAAAACCACGGGCACGGAGTCCGTGGACATGGGTGACTCGGCTTGCACCATTAGCGCCCTCCCGACTCGTGAAGGAGCCTCTTTAAAGGCTTCGGATCGGGTGCCGGGAGCGGCGTGGTGCTTTGAGTCCTCTGCTTTCCCTGCCGAGCGCAGCCGCATGCCATTCGACGGAGAGCGCTGACTTCTTCCATTGAAAATTTGGACTATTAACAACAACCCGTGAGTAATTGGGAAACCGGGTTCAAAATTTCGGATTTGGCACGAGCGGGGCGATTTAAAAGGAAGTCAATCCCCCTACAGTAAGCATTCCAAAACAAGGACTGGGTAACCAAGGTCCAAAGGGAAGTATATTCTTGATAAAAACCATTAATTTCACGATGGGAAATTATAAGAACTGTGCTGGAGGAGAAGAGTGGAGGGTGAGAAGAAAATGCAACCCCCCTGGGAACCGGGGCGATTCGTGGAGCCTGGTGAAGAGAGACGGAGACTTTGACAGCTGTCAAAGTGGCTGTCAAAGTTGGAGAATATAAAGAGGACTTTGTTATGAGGACTTTGCCGGTTAATTTTGCTACAATTTGCTACAATATGGATATAAACTGTTGGAAAATAAGCAACAATTTGACTTTTGGATTAGAGGATACAAAGTTATTACAAACCCCTAGAGGCGTTTCGGGATATTACAAGAACGGTCGTAAGTGGAAAAATACTCTGGGATCCGCACAGGACTTGTTATCTTTTGGGAAAGCTGCAAAACTGAAATAGTATTTTGTCTACAGAGGTATTTACATTAAAGGAGACAATAGAATTTTCTATTGAAGAAAGGAAGGGACTGGACGTAAGTTTTTGTTCCTGAATAACAAACCTCTGCAGAGATACCAGATTTCTGAATTAGAAAGTTTTAGCAGCTGAACAGGACAAGAAACCTGAGAAAGTGAGGAAAAGAAGAACAAAGGACTGATTACGACACGGAAAGAACAACGGGAGGAGTGGTAAAGATCAAGGAAATTAAAGGCCTTTGTTAGATTGGACACTTGAAGTTACATATTATTAATAAATTAAAAGAAAACCGGCAAGATGGAATCGGGGAGAAATTTGGTCATGAATTGAGACTTCCAAGCTGATAATGCATAGACTGATGGATATGGGGAATTCAAACCGGGGAAGGGGGAGATTTGAAATCCAAAGGCTGTGTAACCATCTTTTGAATTTTTCTATATCTTTTATTTTTTATTTTTTTACATAACTTACGCATGTCATTTTATTTTGATTGGACGTGTTTAAAAAAGGGAATTCGTGGAAGGAACTGGGGTGGATCTTGGGGAAAATCTTTTTCTTTTCTTGTTAATGATGTGGGACGGTGGTAAGATTTGTACAATTCAATTTGGATAGTGGGTTAAACAAATTAAGCTTCAAATTGGGAGTGAGAGCTTGTAGAACTAAATTAAGGAAAGGGGAATACAGTCGGGGGGGGGGGGAGTCCCAGAAAGTAGGCAATGAAAGTAAGGTTTTTAAATATCTCTTTTTCTTTTTCTTTTTTTTCTTTGTATTTTT